CACCGCTGTCTTTCGCTACTCAGGTTAAACATATATAAGTCACTTAGATAACTTAAAAATGTTATTGTTTGGCTTTTTGTAGTATTTTATTTGTTCCTGAGTAAATCGGTTTGGCTGAGATTAAAGTTATAGTTTTTACACAGCTGAATAAACGTCAAGCAGACAGCTGATTATCAGAAGTGTGAGATGCTCGAGAATATACTCCGGTGTCCTGTTATATTTTAGATAGCAAGGAGTTTATTGAACTTCACCGAAACAATCTGCAAATTTCATTAAAATGTAATAAACTATCATCTTGTCTTTATTTTTAGTTAGCACATATCTTAAACACTTAAAGCTGTAAGCTAATGATAGTTATGTAAGAGCAGATGCTGCTGGTGCAATAAGCTGTACGCTGTACGTCCAATGGATGCACGATCTGATTAGTCGACTAATCGCAAAAATAATCGGTGACTAGTCAACTATCAAAATAATCGTTTGTGGCAGCCCTAGTTAATACATTTGGTTGTTTTCGTATTTAATGTCAAGTACACTAGTGTATTTGTTTCCAGTGTGCATTATATGTGTGCTGAGTGGCAAATCTGTCCATGATACTGTCTATTTCCTGATTTCGTCAATTAGCTAAAAAGCATTTCTAAATTTTATTTATTTATATATTTTCATTGTCTTCAACTTTCTTCTGCTGCGTGGTTAAAAATGGTGTTCCTCCTGATATAACGTAACACTGAGTCCTAGAACCAAGAAATTCTGGCTTTTTTGTAACCACTGCAAATCCCTTGAGATCCCCGGCTAAATATAGATCCCTTTAAGCCGGAGCAGCTTGATTATAATTTATAAATATTCAGTATTCACACTTAAGTCCTAATATTTTGCTAAAATAACATAAAATGTCATGATAAAACCCAATTTCAGCCCAAAGATTGTTAAGTAATGGTATAGACTATTAAATGCCAGAGTCAGTCAGTGAGATTCTGGGCTACCCGAGAGCTATCTAAATATCTACATGCTGCATTTTGAATTATTAATAAAACTGTGTCTCTTTTCATTTGATTAACATTTTACATTCTAAAATTATGTTTACATTTGATGATGTTAATGACTAGATGAGTTAGAAAACACTCAGAAAACTGAGCACAATGTAATGGGAGAGAATAATCTTTGTGATGTTGCATGTATATACAACAGCTATTAAAAACACGAATCAGTCCTTTGGTAATCAAACTGTATTTTATGCTTCAAGGCAGAGCTGGGCGATAGAACAATAACGATATGTATCGCGATATAACTTTTACTCGATAGAGAAATTAAGCTATCGCGATAGACCTCGCCGCTCTTGTCCTCTTTAAAAAAAAAAAAAAAAAAAAAAAAGGTCAGCCAATCCAAATTAAGTAACGCAGAGCCGAACCAATCACAGCCGCAGCGTCACGTCGCGTGGCTTGTTACGTACAGCACAAGTGCCAAGCCACACGTGTGTTTGTTTGGGAAGCAGCCAGCGGGTAATGGAGCCAGCGCGTAATGGAGGAAATGAGTGTGCTGACTAGAAAAATCAACCGAGCGTGACCGAAGAGAAAACAGATGATGGTTCCAATGCCGGAGAGATTGTCGAACGGAAGAGCCATAGAAGTTCCGTAGTGTGAAGGTATTTCGGCTATTTCAAGTCTGACAAAAAACAGAGTAGCGTGCACTGTAAATTGTGCCGAAAGCAAGTCTGGAAATACAATAAACTGGTGCATGCGTCACACTGTGCACCACGTTATTGTTTCGGTGAAATGAATTTCTACAATACTGTTACTGTTAATTCTACTCTCTGCAGTGTTTAAATGCTTACATATACGCAAAGTTACTGTCCCTCCACACATACGACTCTGTTCTGCTTCTGTGCCCCAGCTTTGTTTACTTTTTCCCACCGAGGCTTCTAGACTTCTGATTGGCCAACATTTCTGCACGGTTAGGAATCTAGCGCCACCTGCTGCTTTGGCATGTTCATAGCAGCGTTTTTCCTTCATTTCTGCCTTTATGTGTGGACGGGATTATTTTTTAAAACGAAAACGGAAAATCTCCGTTTTCAAAAATACCCGTGTACGTGTGGACGTAGCCTCAGTCTCTGACTGGAAGCGCTAATTCGTCATTTGGCTTTTGTCAGACTAAAGTAACTGTTAAAACTGTTTGAAAAGCTAAGCTATACAACAAGGAGAGATTGAGAATTTCCTTTTAGTTCTCAGTTTATTTGATATTGACAAAAGTTAGTCAGTTTTGTCTGTTCTTCTGTAAAACAAACTAAGATTTATTTTTAGAATTAATATTTTGTTTCTAAGTGGAATTGACAATTTAGTCTGTTTCGTTTGTTCTATTTTGAAACTTAAACGCTTTAGCGGCTGCCTTTTGTGTAGTTTGCAATATTTGCCTTTATCTATCTGAAAAAGTCTCATGTTCCTTAAGTACATCTACCCTGTTGAACTTATTATGGGAAATAAATATTTAAATAAAAACAAGCTGCTGATTATTTCACATTTTACTTGTGAGCAACGGCACATTTAAATCTTACAAATATAGTTATTTGGCTTATATCGTGATAGATATCGTTATCGCCTGAAATGAAAAAAACATATCGTGATATGAAAAAATCTCATATCGCCCAGCTCTACTTCAAGGCTAGAAAAGAAGAACAACGCTATACTAACTCGCTTGCATCATATGATAGCATGTTAGGTGTAATGATACAAGGCAGTGCCATAAAAACAGAAGAAACTGCTCAAATCCAAGTCTGAGGTTTCAGTATTGCTTAATCTGAAACTCCCGTGACCAAGTTTGGTTTGTAGGGTTGTCAACCAGCCATCATCATATCTCTGAACCTCTGAGTTACCTCACGGCCGGCCCTCTGTCCCTTCTATAAGCAGTCTAAGACCATGGCGTGTCGTTTTCTCATTCAGCATTTGAGTCGCTCGGTACTTTAAGTGCTGATGTAGCAAAGATAAGATTACAGGTGCAATTCCAGCTTGTAAGTACAATTTCAGCCCAGTTATGTACCATTTCTTTTGGACATCTAATCAACGGAAAATCGCTCAGTGTGCTGACGTGCTTATTTACACGGTCGCCAGTCACAGAGCAACATTATCATTTATTTTGAGTTATGTGTCTTCGCACCTGGCAGATGTGAGTGCAACATTCACTCAAAACCCCTAAGGGAAATATCTTTCTGTTTACCTGCTAAAATATCCACGATGTTTACCAGCTACTCACACGGGTAGAGGGTTTTTAGAGCTTTTTACGCACACACACACAAAAAAAAAGAAACACCCGCCCGCTGCAGCTGAAAACAATGCTGTTAAAACAGCAAGCTGAGTGCTAGAAAGCTAAACAATGAGCTGATGATGAAATAAAATTGATGACTGATTTATTATTAATATGTTGCATTAATCTTTTATGATTCAGTACTTACTGATAGACCTTTTCACATATAAAATGCATTATGTGGGCGGAATTCGGGACGGCTGAACATTACACGTGTCACATTATTGCAAATTATCGGCTGCTTTCCATGCAGAAAAATATAATGAGCCCAGCCAATAACACAATTAACATTAAGGATAGATGCTTTTTATGCACACCAAAACTAAACTGGCAAGAAGCTTCAGTAATCAATAGATTCATGCAGACCTTATTCAGATGTTCCTGTTAGGGTCGTCACGGCGCATCGCCTGTTTCCATCTCTTCCTGTGCTCTGCACATTCGTCTGTCACACCATCTATCTGCATGTCCTCTCGCTCCATCCACAAACCTCATCTTTGGCCATTTTTCCTTCTGCCTGGTAGCTCCATGTTCTACACTCTTCTCCCATTTTAACAAGTATCTCTCCACCGCACAACCCAGTTCAATCTCACCTCTCTTACTTTGTCCCTGAAGTATCTGACTCCCTCTGAATCCTGTCGACTAACATCGCTACCACCTTGTAAACACTCTTTTCTTCACCTCCACACCAGTTAGCATGCTCGTGTCAAAAATTGGTCAACCGTCGGTATGCATGCAGTTCTCTCAACTCTAAGGAACATTTTAGTGGTAGCGAGCTACGGTTTTTAATCATACACTGAACCGCTTTACTGTTTTGGATCACTAGTATCACTCCCTTTGTTTCCACTGAGAAAACAAAGCTGTTTTTCACACACAGCTAAAAGCCTCTCTATGCTACCTGCTCGGGATCTAAGACCCAACATTTAGCAATACTTATAAACACCTGAACATATCAGTCATATCAGAGAGAAAAAAACAGAGCTAAATGCAGAATAAAAGAAAATATTCGATGCTATTTTAATGCTAAGGGTAAGGAAAATACTTACTGGCATGTTTGCCCTATTACACAATCATTCAGCCATGTGAGGTCTAAGTCATCGCAGGTAGTCCTACCCTTATCTTTTGGAGAAGGGCAAAACAGACAGTGAACACTGAATAGTTCTTGAGCATCAGTTACAATTAATATTTCCTGGGTTCCCTGGCTGCCACTCTTAAACAAAAATATCCTGATTGCCTAAGGTTAGCGTAAAGGTGTTTACATACCAGACATTTCATGTATAATATTTACCAATTTTTCAGATGTGAATGAGAAGATCTGACCATTCAGATGACTGCATTTGGAAGCACTGTCATCAAAGTGCTTGCTCATAAGGGGGTCATTTGATTGCTGGGGTTTGCTCTGTATCATTGTGTTGTTGTCTTTACCTTATAATATAAAGCACCTTGAGGCAACTGTTGTTGTGATTTAGTGCTATATAAATAAAAGTGAGTGCCGCTGTTTTACAATGCACTCGGTGTGTAAGGGCTTTTAGGGTTGGCACTAATGATAAGCACTATACTATACAAAACTACATTTGTATTAAAAGACGGTTATAAATTCTTCCTTTTCATGTTTGTTACTGCCAGCTTTGCACATGTGTGCATGCATGCGTGCATATTTTTGTGCATTTCTCTCTCCCTCTTTGTATAATGGTGCTTCGTGGTGATCTTACCTTCAGTGGAGGATCCGGACAGATCAATGACCACGTACACCTTCCCTTCCGGCTCCAAGTCAATCTGTGTAGAGGAAGAAAGAAAGAAACGGAGAGTAAATCAGCAAGAAATAACACGACTGAACAGTGAGTGTGGCACGGGGGCAGTCCTCCAGCACAAACAAACACACCAGTGCACATGCAAGAGGTCATTATCTTGACTAGATTACACTCCGCCCCGACACTCCATATTATTATGGTTACACTCTTTTAGCCCCCATGTACTCCTGGTATTAAATGCAATTATGCATAAAGATTATATGTAAGCAATTATCTGCATTTTCAGATATATTGTAAACAACATATAATAAATGCAAAGGCACCACTATCTTTATTCGTCCTTCAGCTAGGTAAGTAGGTAAGTAGAGCAGCAAATTTCACACAGAAGGTGATACAGCTGTACTGGCTCAACCCTTTTTGCCTTTGGCGAGGTGAGTTTGTCTCCATCACTTTGCAGCGTTTGTGTAGAACAAAAATAAATAAATAAATAAATAAATTCAAGGACGGCATTCACTTTTTCACTTTATAACGTGGCTGCTTTAACAACCACATTCAAGCAGGATGTAAAAGTACAGAACGCATGTTAATAGCTGGTGTAAAATGAAATAGAGCTTAGCATAATACAAAGCTTCAGCATTTCTGCTGAGGTCTTTGGGGGTGATTAGAGAATCCTTCCATCCTTCCATTTTATTCCATTTATCCAATTCAGGGGTTTTTGACATTAATCTGAAGTCAAACATGACATAAGTTTGACTTAGGTAGTGCATTTCTTATGATGCTTGTGATACTATGCATGTACTCGCTAACTCAACCAGAAAACTAAACATTCCCATCGTTGCTGAATTGTACTAAAACTAATTAATCATCTTTTACACACCTTCTTACAATTATAATTCTTTTGAGTAATTTTGAGTAACAACAAAAAAAAAGTAAAATCAAAGGTTTATTTATTCAAATAATTAATCATTAAGGAGAATGCACTTGGTAAAAATTAAATGTATACCAATCAAATCAATTTAATTTGACCCTAATTTGTTAAATTTAATGTTTTACCATGTGCTCATATAACAAAAATGCATGGTACTTTGGGCATAAATCTTTTTTTATCGTATTGTGTTGCACAGACATGAGTCGTTTATTTGATTTATTTATTTGATACACCCTGTTTGTGATCATGTACAATGTTTGACATCGACCATTAAATTAGGCTCAATTTTAAGTATTTTCTTATTTTTACGTTTGTTTGAATATTCTCTATAGCTCCCGTTCAACTACATATCGTTAGCTTCATAGCATAAGTGCCTAAGTCATTGACTTAGTCAAATGACTTAGGCAATTATGCTATGAAGCTAACGATATCAAATATCAGTCGACTCAGATCTCCAAAATCTGGTAAGCTTGCGTGAACCTTTCACGCTATTCCCAGTCGTGGTGCGCCCATTCATACCCAGGTGCGGCTGGATGGTAGATGAATTGGGCACACTTAGGCGCTTTACACATCAAGTATGAAAGGAATTCAGCCATCGATGAAGATGTAACCTCAACACCGCTCGTCTGTCATTCCCCTTTCCAAACACCTGTCTCATGAGAAATGTGTGTATGCGAGCAGATTTCAGCACTCACATCTGCTTCCCGAGCATGACAGATGAGGTTTGAAGACAGGCGAGACAGAAAACAGGAGCTGCAGCGGCATGAAAGGATTCTCCATTGGAAAGTTTTCTGTGTATACAAGTGTCACATGCATGTGTTCTCTAGTACAAAAATATTAATAAGAGCGTCGGCCAGTGAGAAGATGGGAGTAAAGTATTCGGTCTGGGTAAATCTAATTGAGAGGTTTGGTTGTTTTTAAGTGATTGAAACTGGATATCTTTGGTCTTTGGTCATGACTGTGTCTTCAGGAAGTGTAACGGATATGTTTTGCTATTCTCTGAGACTATCTAAAAGACAGGACAGCCATTTCCTGCCTTCTCTTCATGCCCCTCACCACGTTCCCCAGTGTGATCGGTATTCTCACACCGTCATCATTATCATCACCTTTACCACCACCTTCACTTCAACACAGTCTACAGTATCACAGCTTGATTACTGCTGACATTTGATTGTGTTTTCTTGTCAATTTTAACTCAACTGCACTGATAAACTGCACACAATCAAGATACGTACCTGCAAAATGTACTCAAGTCACATTTTTCACTGCTGTGTTTTTATAAAAGAGACTGAGATTGAGTTTTTGGACCTTTTGGAGCATTACTTAACAAATTACTGTGTCATACAGACAATCGAAGAACTTTCTGCATTAGTTTTCATGACTGAAATTCTAGTATGTTAGTACTAATTAGTAGATATGAGTGTTTCTGTGTTGCCTATGTGCTATGTGTGTATGCAGCTTGCTATCGTTACCTTTCAAGCTCGAGGCTTAAAAACACGAGGTCCTATATCTGGACGAGTGGTTGACTGGGTCCTCAGTCAACTTTGCTGATCTAAAAAATACCTCAGAAAAACCAAACTCAAAACTTTAGGAAAATAAAGGCATCAAAATAGAAAAAAAATGGGTTAAAGGCAACTCACTAGTAACGCAAATAAAGGAACAGACATTGTATGGAATACAGTCAGATTTCGTATAAACTTCAGCTTATCAATGGTTAAAAAATGAGCAGGTTGTCATCTGTGTTTGCAGCATACTGTTTGCAATGACTTGCTGTAACAGTTAGGCTAAACCAAATAGCAAGTGTCCCTTCCTGCTAAATAACACTGCTCATCCAGTGTGTGCAGCACAAGATCATTTACATACGGCGATTATTAAGCTCTAATATTAACTTCCTGCATTTTAACGTAAGGGAAATTGCTGTTATTATAGAGAGCAGCAATCAAAATGTTTATGGCTGCATAATGCAATTTAAATAAATATAGTAGAGAATTTCTTGATAGTAAAAAGCTCAGCCCAGTAAAACCTTCCTCAGCACAGAGTCCAATGAGCACCTTGGCAAAACATTTTCTTGTGTGAGTTTATGGCGAACAAATTTGCAGCACTGGCATCTTGGACAAGTCACATCGCATCCAAGTCTCATCCAAACCTTTTATTTTTAGATCACCAGCAAGCCCAATTCTGAAGGTATCTACACATTATAAATGTGGTAAGATATTAGTGTCTATTCTTATACTCAAAGATATTTAGAGTTGCCAAAACAGCGACTAGTTGATAGAGGACGTCTGGAATGAAGGCAGTATGAGATGTATGTACAGTACAGTTATAATCCATTCATCCTCTATATAAAATGAATAAATTAAAGTCAGTGTAATTAAATGAATTAATCAAAACTGCAGCTGATTAAATCACCACATCAATCATTATTTTTATTAAAAACAAAAAAAATTACATGTTATAATGAGTTAAGCCAGCCATCAAAAAGGGAGGCAGTTTCAAACTTTTAAATATTAATGGGTAAGGGCGATCTGCATACGCACAGAGACTTATTCAACACCAGCCGCCCACAACACACATGCAGTCACAGAGATGGGAGAAAGTGCAACAGAGCGAGCTGGAGAGGCAGACGACCCAGGAAGAGAGAGTGAGGAAGAGAGAGTGAGGAAGAGAGGTTTAAATCCTTAGTTAAGCTCTGGGACAGCAGCAGATCCTCTTATGCAACAGTCAGACTTGCACACAGGAGGCAGCAGCGCACATGCACACACACGCACACACGGACTCCATGCATTGCTGAACATGAGACACAAAGAACACAAACAAATAGGGGGTCCATACCTCCACACATCACAAATCCTATCCCACAGCAATCAGGCACAGTGCGTGGAGAAACACACACAGAGCTACATGGACAGAAACTAACAGTCCTGCTGCCTCCAGTTGGACTAATATGACATAAACAAACAAACATGACACATTTTTTTAACCTACATATTTCCTGTCCCCTTAAAAATATCACAAAAATGCTGCTTGCTTAGATTTTTATGGTTCACAGAGTTAAAAGATACCCATGCAAATAAATTCATTAATGTGTTACATTTTCTTTTGATTCACTCTCAAGCTCATATTTTCTTCATCTGTATGACTTTCATCAAAGACCTGTCAGCTTTTCTGTCATTTTATGGTACTACTGATGTCAAGTAAAGATGGAACAATACATAAAAAGGCCAGCTTGCGTGCATTTTAGTTGTTCTTACAGCAAGAAATGTGAAAAATGCCACACATTTGGTGTCATATCAGGGGATCTGCTGCATTTCTTTGACATATATTTTATTTTTAATTGAAAATCCCAATGTAAAGGAAACTGTCCCAAGCTAAAAACGCTAAAAGACTCGAAAGATGTACTACATATGAGAGTGCAAGTATTATCCTTTTGTTTTGTGTGTCTAACACATAGCAACTGCGGGGGATTTGTGACCTATAAACGCCATTGGATTCTTCATGTCTACCCTTGAAAATGATGTGCTAATCCCCAAACGTAACCTCTTGCATAACAGCGCATCTCAGCGGGGATTTCAGCCAAAAGATGGACGCAGAGTGATTTGGAACAGAGTGGAGCAAATGGACAGCACCATCACTGATTTAGCGCTCGGATGGCACGCCATCCTGCAAAACGGCACTCTTTCCACATCGCCAGTTACTGGCCACTTGAGCCATGCTGTGCCTTCGAGCTCGTTTTTCATATCCAAAATCAATTAAAATACAAAAAATACATCTGCTGCACAGATATGAGTTTTGGAGGATGAATTAGACCATATATGCACTCACATGTATCTTTAAAAATGAAAAAAGAAGAGTTTATTGCAGTTATAAAGCAATAAATAAAAGCCATGACAGATACAGTATTCTATGCACAATGGTTAATTAGGCATCCAGAATTATACCAGCTTTGTTATATACGACCATTTTTACCATAAATCCAAACCTCAGAGTTTGGCCAAATCACCACATTACTTGTAGATTGTAGAGTCATCTAAACGCTTCCCACAGATCGTCATGACATTGATTGTTACGGTAAAGTTAAACATCCATGTAATCTGAAG